ATCAGAGAAAATGAGGCCTTGGTGTGGTTAAGCCTGACTGAAGCTTTCAAAGCCACCGCAGACTTAAGAATGTTGCACTATAAATTGTTTAGAAAGGGACGGTTGATCATCAGTTGTTCCATTTTTTCTCATGTTGGTTAATTTAATAAAAAAGCAAAATATGTGGAGACTTAACTATGTAGAAGAAACACAAAGCTGTTTAATTATGTGATTAAAGCAATCCCTTTGATGTAATACATGCAAGACATTTGAGAATTTACCTGACTCCCCTAAATAGCCAAGTCAGTGGGGATTAAAACAAATGAGCTTTCCTCCTTGCTTTCTGCGGATCAGCTTAATACTAAGTGGCTTTGAAAATTCAGGAGTAAAGCAGTCAACTTAATCATTCTTTAAATCAGTTTGTTCATCTGTGTAAAAATTATATGCTGTTTCAGAGCTCGTAGCCAAATAAAGCAGAATTATGTTCGGTTCTGTTCTTTCTCCCAGCACTATCAAGTTGTAGTATACCTTGTGGAAAACTCTAGGAGGGAGGGGTGGCTTGAGAGTTTAAATCATGTTGCCTTTTAAATTTTCAATGTTCCTTATTCTTCTGAGTTCATTTGTGATATTTTCTCCCCCTCAAAGTAATAATCTCCATAAACTCTTTGTTGTCTCCACAGAAATTGTGATTTTTAAAGCTCTAGCCCTAAGATTTTAGGGCAAGAAATAAACTCCCAGGCAATTAAAATTTGTTGCATGTACATGTTAAGTGATAGCAAAGAGCAAAATGAAAAAATTAAAAGTTGCTAAACCACACAGGTACAAGCCCGTGTGCACATGCACTTACACACACACACACACACACACACACACACACACACACTTCATACTGTTCTGTTTGGCAAGCATTGTTGAGCACTTACTGTGTACTAGGCCCTATGCCTCTAGTTGAGGCAGCTCACTGAACAGTCTGCCCTCACTGAATTATCTCTGTCAGCCCAGCAAACTATGGCTGTCAGGCCATATTCGGCATGCTGCCTATTTTTGTATGGCCTAAAAGCTAAGAATGGATTTTACATTTTTAAATGGTTTAAAGACATCAAAAGAATATATCATAATACATAAAAGTATATGAGATTCATAATTTAGTGTCTAGTTTTTTCTTAATTAAAAAATTTTATTCTTATATTTCCTTTTTTTTGAATTGGGGTGACATTGGTTAATGAGATTATATAGGTTTCAGAGGTACATTTCTACAATATATCATTTGTATGTTGTATTGTGTGTTCATCACCCCAAATCAAGTCTCCTTCCATCACATTTATCCCCCCTTACCCTCTTCTGACTTCCCCCATCTCCTTTCTCTCTGATAATCACCATCCTTTTGTCTGTGTCTATGAGGGTTTTTTATCTTTTTTTTTCCTTAAGTGGTGTACGTACACAATAGAATACTACTCAGCCACAAAAAAGAAAACCCTACCATTCGTGACAGCATGGATGGCCCTGCAGAGCATTTTGCTAAGTGAAATAAGCCAGTCTGAGATGAATCCCATATGATTTCATTAATATATGGAATCAAATGAACCAAATAAATGAACAAACAAAATAGAAACAGACTCATACATAGAGAACAGACTGACTGACAGCTGTCAGGGGCAGGGGGCGCTGTGGGGCTGGGTGAAAAATGGACAGTGCTCACACTATCTGGCCTGAAATGTCAATAGCTGTAAGACAGAGAAACTGGTCTAAAGGCAGAAAGCATATGCCAGCCAAGTCTGCTCTCTTTTAAAATGGATTCTTGGAAGAAACAAGGACTTTGTTATATGTCATTGGCCAGAATCTCATCCCAAAGTCAACTGTAGCTGCAAAGGAAGCTGGACAATGCAGCTATTTTTTGTTGGGCCCACTGTCACCTAGAGCAGAATTCGGGTCTGACAGTAAGGGAAGAAAGGGAGGATGGATATTGGGTGGACAATAGGCAGTTGTCATGGGCGGTTGTCCTGAGCAGCCTCTTCCCAGAGGTTTGTGTGAATAAGGGATGGAAGTGCATGCACTGGTTAAAGAAAAGTTGGGGGTTTTTGATGAACACAAGCAGCATAGGAAATAGTTTTTGCGGGATATAACATGCAGCCTGCTGTCTATGTATACCACTGTTCTCTCAGTATTTGCAATGGGACTTGCTTTTTCTTCTTCTCCATGTAGCCCATGAGATCATCGACTTCAGGTCTGCCTCACTAAGACTTTACCGTTCATGAAACCATGTTGGTGCTTCATTTCTTTTATTCTGAAAAAAAAATAATTAAAAATTTATGTGATCAGCCCTGTCCAAGTGGCTCCGTTGGTTGGAGCATCGTCCTGTACACAAAAAGGTTGCGGTTTTGATTCCTGGTCAGGGCATATGCCTAGGTTGCAGGTTCGATAGCAGGTCGGGGCATGTACAGGAGGCCAGTGGGTATTTGTCACACTGATGTTTCTGTCTTTTTCTCCCTCCCTCCCTGTTTCTTTTGCCCTCTCCTTTCTCTCTCTCTCTCTCTCTCTCTCATCGATAAACATATCCTTGGGTAAGAATTTTTAAAAAGTGATGTGATCAGTATTTGCCTTGAATGGTGTATCCGTTAGAGTTTATTCAGGAGAAGGGATACCCTTCTAAGTATATCAAGCAGGAATATATGTAATACGGGGCATCAGAGGCTTATGCAACCATTGGGAAGGCTGAGGAGTGAAGGCAGAGTCTGCCAATGATCTCTGCTGCCCTCACACAGAAGGGGCCTTCTCAGGAGAATGTCTGGAAGCTTCTGGCAAAGTTTTGTATCTGCTGTCTACAGATGCCCTTGTGCCTGTCTATGGCTACCAACAGCAAATGAATAAATGGCATCTCTTTCTCTTCTACCTTTTGAATCTCCTGCTAGTGCTTCTCATTGGCAGAGTCTAACCTGGAGCCATGCCCGTGACTTTTGAGAGATGCAGTTGTGAAGCTTCTCAGGGAAGAATGCAGAATGGGTGGAGTGGGATGGTGCGGAATTGACAACAGACTGTCAGGCAGAAGGAGCATTTGAATTTGAATAAAGGCATTTATTCAGCACATTTTGGGAAGAAGAGCACTCTATTCAGGTGTTGGCAATGTTGCTACTAGTATTGTTACCTTATTCCATCTATGTGTCTTTGGGAGATGAATAAGGATTATTTGTATCTGTGTTCCGGCTCTCTTCAAGTCATACTGTTGCTAAATAAATAATAACAAAGGATTCAATGGCCTGCATATCTAGTGCAGAAGATAATATATTCTGTGAAGCTCCATAATGCAGTGGGGTCCCAGAGCGTGAGGTTTGTAAAACAATGCATAATTCACCAGCATGCTCTGGAGAGATCAGTGTTCAGAAAATAATTGCAGATGACTCAGCTTGTATATGTTTTTATTTTGGGGGAAACTGTCTGGAGCTCTTTATTTGCTGTATTTATGCCTGTGACTTGTGAAGAGCTGATAAAATACAGTGAGGTATTAAACACAGTGAGGATGATAATAAAAACAATTTGGAACAAGGTAAATCATAGACATGACGTATTGCTTGGTGTTGAGGGGAGAGTTGTAACCTCTAGTTATCTGGTACCCAAGTGACATCAGGCTTTCAGCATAACTCACAGGGTTTTGAAGGCACAATTTGATCTGTGCTGTATTTCAGTCTCTGGAACAGCAAAACTATTATGACTGGGTCCTATGGCACTTGTAAAATCCTCTGAGCCTTGAGTTTCAGGTTTCTGCTGATATTTAATATTTAAATGATCTCAAAGGAGATAAGGACAACGTACTATATTATTCTGTTTATTTCTTGAGTGTGGAAAATTGAAAGGGAGTGAAGGAAAAAGCTCAATACCAAGACCAGTGTGAGAAGGTCACTGGTTTTCTTTGCCGGAATAAAATCAGCGTGTTTGGGGTTGCTTGGAATCTTATGTTGGGTCTTCTGGAGACAGAGCTAGAGATGTGGATTCTTGTGCAAGTGATTTATGATTCATTCAGCAAGTGCTCCCAAGAGAAACCAGCAAAGGGACGGGGGAAGGCAGGCAGAGAAGGGTGAGAGACTGCTAAGGGTGAAATTTGAAGGGACGTCTCAGGCACCCTGGTCCAGTGTGGAACTCTGGGAGTGCCAATTATACCTCACGGTTTGTCCTGAATTGTAGCAAAGGAGCTGCTGCGCTTTCATTCTCCTGCACAGTTAGTTATTGGCTAAGAGGGCTGCTGGCGTGGGGGTGGTTTTGGAGGCAGATAAACTCTCAGGGGCCTTCAAAGAGTGTCAGGTGCTGGTTATTAGAAAAGAAAAACAACATAGATGCTGGGGAGGAACATACAGAAGTGATTAAAGGGATCCCAGGGGACCTGGGGAAAAGCCCCAACAATGAGAGAAAAAATTTCACTTGGAACTGCAAGGGTTGGAAAACCTTTTCTATAAAGGGCAGGTAGTAAATATTTGAGGTGTTGTGGGCCACAGGGTTTCTGTTCCAACTAGTCAACAATGTTGTTGCAGTGCAGAAGCAGCCATAGATACATGTAAATGAGTGGGCATGGCAGTATCACAATAAAACTTTATTTATAAAAACAGATATAGAGGGAGGACAAGATTTGGCCCAGGGGCCATAGTTTGCCAGTCCCTGCTATAGAGGCTTCCTGTATGTACCTAAGATGATTTTTAAAATCCATTCCCTCTATGCTGTACAACACAGGGAATAATAATTAGTATGGTTATCAAACATCCAGTCTTTCATCATTCACAATGTTGCATGGATAATCTTGCTGAAGGATGACTCCTCTCATGTTACTCCTACCAAAAATACTTAGTTCTCTGTTATCTATAAAATGAAATCTAGAGCAGTGACTAACTTAATTTGTTTGCCCTTTGCAGTGGGTTGCACATAGTAGATATTCAGTAAATGGAGTTTTCAGATGAAGATTGCATTCCTACATCCTGTGATTATTAATGATTTAAGTGCTGCAACTCTGACATCACTTTTCTTTTTCCTTTGTATAGGCAAGAGCTGTTTTGGCAAAAGTTGGCTATCCTGAGTTTATAATGAATGATACTCATGTTAATGAAGACCTCAAAGCAGTAAGTGCTAAATTTACTGTGTTTTTTTTTCTGGCAAGTTTTACTGGCCTCATGCCTTTCAACTAACCCAAGTCCAAGCAATTAAACCTGGTGGTGCCAGAAAGCACCAACTTTTGATTCATTCCTTGGCTAGATATGAGCCTCAATATGCCAGGCATATCACAAGATTTAGAGCAGATTCCAAATAAAGGAAGTGTCAGAAGGAATGTATAGCTAAGTGGGTACCGTAAAGCAAATGGACTTGGATTTGGCCTAATTTCATCGTAAAGGAAAGAATTAAGCAAATCGGGTATTTTACAATTAGTGGGCATGTTCTAATGGGGAATATATGGTGTTTGTTGTTAAACAACCTTTATATGCTTCATTCACATTAAATGACTTGTAATAAATCTGCTAGCTGGGAGTTGACTTCATTAAACTTTATGAGTGTTTTTGCAAATTAAGTGCATATACATATGACTATAATTTACTGTGATTTGGACTCCATATTTGCAGTAAGTTAGTGGTGGAGGAATAGTAATGATTCTTTTTTATTCCAGTATTTCGGGACCTATATTTTCTAGTAGATATATTCATTACAGGCTTTTCTAATCACAACCACTGTTATTTCCTTTTCTATAAATAATTCTGATGCCCCGCAAACCCCGGCTTTTACCACTCACTGGATTTTCTTGAAAAAGTAGGGTTTGTTTTTGGTAGAATTCTTTTAATAACAATGGTCCTGAGGTGTAGCTCTTTCCTGAAATTGAGGTTTGACAAGTTGCATATCTGAAAGCAATCCCAGCCTTGTAGATGAATATCAGAGTGTTGCAAAATTATTCAAAAGTGAGAGAAGGCTTTAATTAGGAAGTTTCTCCATCAGCCTCCAAGATATGGCCTTCTAAAGTATTGATCTGGTTGCTATGCAGAAAGATAATTATGCTTCACTGTATCCCAAAGCTCAGACAGCCCATCTTATTATACATTGTTTTGATAATGAAAAATCTCACTATCATTATGATAATTAAAGATACTGATGCATTTGACACATTCACATGTGTTATCTTTTAAGCCCCACAGTGATCCTCTGAAGTTAGATGGCCCTTAGCCCCATTTTGCAGAAAAGGAAGTAGATACTCAAAGAGGTGAAGCGGTTTCCTGATTCCACAGAGTTGTCGGAGCCAGGACTGAAGTCAGGACCCAGGAAGCCCTGCCTGTAATCTGAGAAGGGGTTCAGCAGGGTCCTTGTCAGGCAGCCTCGCTGCAGGGACAGGGGAGTGAGTGTGAAGAATTGGTGGGAACTGCTTGCCTAGATCTGGTTGGAAGTGAGAGGAGGGGCGAGGAGATCATATTGTCAAGTGGTTAAGAGTACAGGCTTTTTGCCTCTTCCACTTACTAATTGTTTGGTTTTGTGCAGGTTACATTACTTCATTAACTTCCCTTCAGTTATCTGGATACTGGAGATGATAATAACCAAGTCTTAGTGTTGTTGGGTTGATTAAGTGAGATTAGATAAACGTAAAAGCACCTAACATAATGTCTGATGTATATGTAGGCTCCCTGTAAATATGGGTCAGTATGAGAACTGTCGCTGCTAGGAAGAGCATCACTAGGGCACAAAGTACCTTACTTAGCAAGAGAACCTGTACAGTTACATGTGATTGGCAAATATTCCAACTCAAGGGTGCAGATAACAACATTTGAGAGCCAGTTTGATGTAGCAGTCTACCACTTACTAGCTGTGTGACCTAGGATCTCTGTGCCTCAGTTTCCCCATATTAAAATGGAGATAATAATAATCCCTCCCTTATAAGGCTGCTGTGGGGATCAGATAAGTTAACATACATAAAGTATTTAGAGCTGGTCCTCATCCACACCAAGCGCAACGTAAGAGTTGTGATACCTTCAGTTTGCATTTATGATAGTAAATTATTTTGGTTTGGAAAAATCATTATGAATTAACTCATCTAGTATCCAGGTGCCTCAAATTGATTTAAAAAGGCTGCACAAATGGAACAATCTCAAGCTGTAATCAAATAAGATAGCATTCAGAGCTCATTCACAACATTTAGTTCATCAGGTTTTGTTGGCAGTATGCTACTGTTTAAAGTCAGTGGCCCAAATTGAAAGACTCACTGAATGCAGTACCTTTTGTGAAAAGAAACCAGATGCCAAGCAGGATGCAGTGTTGGGTCTGTTCCCTCATTTCTCCAGGGCCTGAACGGAACCCATTAGACACTAAGATTTTTAAGCACACTTGTGAAAAAAAGGCTTTCATGTGACTCATTGCCAAAGCAGGCACAATTATGCCCAAGAGTTTCTAATGCTGTAAAAAATAGATGGTGAAAAAAAAAGTCAAATACAGGAAATAAAAATACAGTTGTGTTTGGAAACCAATAGGGACAATGAATAAAATCCAACCTGAGAATAGGTAAAGGATACTTGATGTGATAGTAATAGTGTCACTGAGGTTAATAGCAAAAGGACTCAAGTATTGTGGGTACACAATGGGGCTGTATTTCCAGTTCTGAGAAACATGTAGATAAGGACTACTGTCGGACCTACAAGATGTGTCTGGCTGTACACGCTCTGAGCATGAGAGGCTTTTAGAAGTGAAAAACAGCTTAGTTTATTTGACACAGTAAAGATATGATTTAGCAGGTACAAACGCAAAAGGAAAGAGGATAGAGATCAGGTAATGGATTATATGAAGGTCAAGGAGAAAGGTTGAAAATGTAAGTTGGGACTATGTGCAGATAAGAGCAAATGGAAAAGAACTTAGAGGCAAATGCAAAGAATTAGAGAACATTTCTTTTTTGCCCTCTTTGAGGAAGACCAGGTAAATTGAGATACCCCAAAAAATGTTTCTGAATAATAATCTTTCTGTAGTCTTTGACAAGAGCAAGAAAGGAAATGCAGGAAAGCCTACTAATTAGCCTTAAAAAGTAGGGGTCAGTCCACTTTCAAATTAGCCTTATTAAGTGTTCTTCCATTGATCCTTGGTAGGAACAGACTTTAAGAGCGGTGTGATACCAACTTGGAAAGATTGCTGTGTCAGCAAGGAATCCAGAAGCACACTAGGTATTTCAAAGAGAGGTAATTTAATACAGGAAATAGGTTGGAAGGCAAAGATCGGGAAGGTGAGGTAAACCAGACGTTAATAACTTCAGTAAGCTACCATCACCCCTGCGTCTAGGGGCACAAAAGGGAGGAAGTGATGGTACCATCATTTAGGAGAACAGAGAGGGAACTGCCACTCCAACTGGGGCTGCGGAGGAGGGGATGAAGATCCTTTCGGAGTCATTGTCAGAAGAAGAAAGAGGAAAGAGAGCAAGAATGAAAGAGACCAAACACAGCATTCTTTCCCCTCCTGCCACCTGCTGATTTGCCCCAGTCCCTCCTGTTGGCAGGGAGCCAAATGGCAATGGAGCCCGAGAAACAGAGTTTCACATGCCCAGCCCCAGCATTATAGGACAGAGTAAGAGGCTGGGCATGCATCTGAGGGACAATAGGTAAATACGCGGCACCATTAGGCACTCCACTCATTCTTGTGAAAGCCAGGGGATAATTGGAGTAGGGACTAAAGTCAGAAACACAGCTGACCTCCATCTACTTAGGAGAATTGGATATGGGTAATTTTTCAGAAAAAAATCAATGCTTCTAGTGAATGATACAAATATACATACATATAAGAGTACATACGCAGATATATAGATATTATGTGAATCAATGTAATATTCTGCAGTATGGGTCTTGTTCTGCTCTGGCCAGTGGAGCCCTCGTGTGTGTGTGTGTGTGTGTGTGTGTGTGTGTGTGTGTGTGTGTGAGAGAGAGAGAGAGAGAATATAAATATATCAATATTTATATGTGTTGTGTGTTTTATGTGTATATAAAAGTGGTAATGAGGTAGTGTTATGTGGAATGCTCTACAAAGACAGGTTGTTAAAACACAGAACTCCTTCTGTACTATTAAGTCAAAACAAAACAACATTGCCCTCAGCTCTGCCAAAGATCGCTGGCCACCGTGGCCCTGGAGAGTCAAGAGTAGGCACTGGAGGGCGGTGTCTACCAACCTTACAGGCAGCCCTCCGTAACTCCCCCACACTGGCCTTCCTCTAGAGTGTTCCACTGGCCAGAGCAGACCAAGACCTCCCTCTACCCCTGGAGGTGGCGACAGGGCATCTGGTTCCATCTAGTTCTGGCTGATGTGCTAACTACTGCTACCTCGCCCTTATGTGGCTGCTGTGGGAACTGCATCTTCCACAGTGTACCATGTATGCAGGTTGTTAAACAGTTTGAATGTAGGTGTGATGTGCACACACACTACTTATGGGCAAAGCCATCTAAACAAAACAGTCTTGCATATTACTTTACTATTTACATAAGGGAAAATGTAAATACAAAATCTGGATCCCTTCTGTATTCAGAAAATTTTTTGTGTGCCTAATATAAAATCTTTCTTACACATACTGGATATACTCTATACGGATTTAACATGACATGTACATATTTGGACATATTTTTAAATGGATTTAACATAAACAAAAAGTGTTCTAGAATCTATACTTCTTATGGCTTATATAGTTATTAATGAGCACATACTTAGTGATTCTACAGGAAAGCTGAGCACACTTCCACGTTCTGTCCTTATTACATGTTCTTCACCTTTGGTGGGGTAATAGCTTTATTCTTCTATTTAGTCTGTGGTATTTGGTGAGAAATTCAGATTCCCCTAAATTTTATGATTTGGACAGCTATTCCTAGGAAATGAGAAAAGAGCCCCAATTAATTTTCCAAAGGTCACTCAATTGAAAAGTCAGGAGATGGAACTGATTACAAGTCATTACCAAGTTGACCTCGATTTTCACCAGTAACTGAAAGGACAAGAGGCTTTTGAGCCACCTATTGTCCCTTGCAGAGTTTAAACATATTTTGATGATTACAAATGGTTTTAAAATATTCATGTGCATTCATTCTTGTTGCCATCTCTACAAGTGGAACTTTCCCAGTGGTTGCTGACTTTCATAGTTTTTTCTCACTCAAGGGCCTGTTCAGTATTTGGAATTATCAAACTATTATCCCATAGTGGAAATTTGAGATATAGAGAAAAGGAATGAGACAGCACCCATAATATTGGTACTCAAACATAAAAATACATCTGTTTTAGTGTAAATCTTTATAGCTGTAATTGATGTTTTTATATAATTTTGTGTACCAATCTTTATAGTTAACATATTATTTTGTCCTTGCCTTCTGCAGCCTTCATTGCCATTATGTTAACTACTGTATGTGTTCAGTAAATTGTGCCATGATTTATTTAGTCACTGCCTCTCCTCTCACCGTAATTCTTACCTTCTCCTCCTCTTTCCCTGTACTCTTTCTGTTAAATCACTGGTTTACTTATTAGGACCAATGAAAATAACATTGAATAGGAACCTAATGGCTTGGACTATATTGCTTTGCCAAGTTGCATAATTACTGTAACACTGTGTCCCATCTATCACAGGGTAATAACTATGGCTGGCCCTTTCAACCCCCACACTTAACCTGTCTCACAGGAAAGATGTGTCTCCTATCAGCTGTGACTTACATTAAATAAATGGAATACATCAACTAAACCAAGCTAGGAAAATGCAAATATTCTCAATTTACTAAAATAGTTTTTAAATAGTTCTTCTAAACATAGATGATAAGCTGTTGGCAAATTGCAATTACTTACCTCCGAGTTTTGCTTCTTGTGGTTATTATGGCTGTGGTAGAACCGTATACTTAAAGAATTTTTAGACATGGAACTCTTCTTTAGGAAATTTGTGGATGGTTTTTCATTTGATATCTCTATAGAACAACCTGAATAACAAGTTTTTTCTTCTCAGATGAACAGGATAATTTAATGAATAGCAGACTTCTAAAAGTAACAACTGACCCCACTGATAATACAGAAAATTAATATTTTTGAAGGAAATTCCTTTGGGAGAACTTCATGGAAAGTGTTCTGAACCCAAGAACATATCTGAATTTTCTATCAGTCACAATCATATTCTGAGAGTTATGGCAGAGCTATCTTGGGAACCAAACTGAGAAAGCTAAGGGTTGAACAGTGGACACATTTTTTAAACTATACAATCCGGGAATGCATTGGGATTGCTAGATGAGATTGCTCCCTAAAACAAGGAGCTTACTCTGTTTCTTCTGAGCCCGAGTATAAACATCTTAAGATACAGTCGATGATAAGATTTCTTTTTATTATAAAGAATCTCAAACATTGTGAAAGTATGTAAAATCATATTTTGAACAAAGAGCTTTAACAAATATTAAACATATTGCTGTATTAGCTTTATGCATGCACACACATGTTTTAAAGTGATGAAACAAATACATTGGAAATTCTTTGTGTAATTGTCATTTACCTAATGTTCTTCCTTGCTGCCTACCTCCTTCCCTAGGTATAAACACTATTTTGAATTCGGTGTTTATTATTCCTATGCATTTCTCTATGCTTTTGCTACATGGGTACTTCTCTACAAACAACATGTGATGTTGTTTTACATGTTATAAAACTTTAAATTCTCTCATGCATACACTTGTCTCACTTAGCATTGATTTTGAGATTATTTGACGTTCATGCATACAGAACATTTGTCTAAACTGGTTTCCATTATGTGATTATACCACAATTTATCCATCAGCTACCCCCATAAGAGGATTGAGGGAGGGGCAGTTTAATGTCTTATCTTTATAATGTGTTGGCCAAGTGGAACGCCAAGGATGCCAGGAATTGATACTTTCATTCCTACCTTTCTCCCTGTGCTTTTAGTTACATAACTCCTTTCTTTGTATTTTAGCCTGGCCCCCTGGAAAGACTGTTAAGATGAATCACTAACAAAAGTTACTGTACAGACATAATAAGTACCCACCATATGTTAGGGAACAGATAAACCCAAGGCAGACATTGGCTAACAAATAGGCTGCTGTCAAGTCTATAATGGTCAAGTTGTATAATACACATTCATATCTGTGCTGTGATCCTTTGGGTTTCCTATGTATTCACTTGCTGTATCTTAATTTTTACTTCTAAAAGAGTCTCATGGTTTAAATTTACAAATTCAAATTCTTATTACAACTAATAAGAATTTGATTACTCTTTTTTTATTGCTGCTCAAGTACAGTTGTCTCCATTTTCCTTTAAAAGAAAATCACTGAGATTAAATTTCATGGCTGTGTGAATACTGGGTTGACCGATGAGGGCTGAGAGATGCTGTGAGGACTATAGCTTCTCTGTTGATTGCTCATTTGTGCGCTGAAGTCTTTTTTCAGAGCTGGCTCTTATCTGCGCTTAGGACAATGATCATTGTGGTTTGTTTTATTCAGATCAAGTTTTCAGAATCGGACTACTTTGGCAACGTCCTGCAGACCCGCAAGTATTTAGCACAGTCTGATTTCTTCTGGCTGAGAAAAGCTGTTCCAAAAACAGAGTGAGTAAAAAAAAAAAGTGAAAGAGATCAATATATTGGTGGGAAGTGGATTCTCTTTAGATCAAACTTTGTAATTCCCCTCAAGTCAGAGTAGCTGGCTTGCCAGTTATCTTGTCTGGCAAAATCTGTGTTATGTTTTGGCAACTCTTATTTCTGATATACGAGTCAGCCGTTCAATTTAGTTATGTCGCCCTCACTCCTAGCATCAACACTTATGAAAAGAAACGAAGGCTTATTTGGATGCCAGTGTTCAAATCATTTCTAGATCTTGATATGTGTGTGTGTGTGTGTGTGTGTGTGTGTGTGTGTGTACATATATATATTTTCTCTAGAACATCACACTCAGGTAGAGACTTTTGAAGATCTTTAAAAGGAACAAATATTTTTTAAAAAGTATGATTATAAATGTAGAAGTGATTGTATAATTTTAAGTAACTAGATGATATTTATTCAGGTAATGAATGTTAAAGAAATGTTAGCACTATTGTTTACCTCCAGTAGTAGTTGTGATTTATTTGCCTGTAGGAACTTCCCCTACAGATAAGAAAGTTTTCTCAGGAACTTTTGGGGCCAGGCCAGCCATGATTTTCCCCCAGCAAGATGTGTGCGATGGTGGTGATGACAGCCGCTAACAGTTACCGTGTCTGTATAGTGTTCCTGGAAGTGCTCTATATGTTTTAATTCATTTTATCCTCTTGTCAATGCTGTGAGGTCTGGGTAGTATTTATTGTTCCCATTTCACAAATGAATAAGGGACTTACAGTTGAGAAATTCTTCAGTTTTGGTTTACATTACTTTTTGTTCTTGCTTGCTGGTACTTTTGACTCTGTTCTGCTGTAGCCCACTTCCCCAGTGTTTTTGTCTTTCTCTTCTCCAGACTGGACGATTTCTGTTGCTCCGCCTTCACATTCATGGATTCTTTCTTGTGTATTCTCAAATTTGCTGTTGACCCATCTAATAAATTTTTCCCTTTGATTATTGGAGTTTTCAACTATAGAATTTGTGCTTGGATGTTTTTCATAGTCTTTTTTCTTTGGTCTCTGTTGTGATTCTTTATTTGTTGAATCATTGTCATTGTATTTCCCATTAATTCTTTTAATATAGTTTATTTTAATTCTTGGAGCTGATTTATAAGGACTGCTTTCAAGTTTTTGTCTGCTAAAGCCAACATGGAGGCTCATTCAGAGTCAGTTTTTATTGCTTGCTTTTTTGCTTTTATATGTTGTTTTTATGTGCATAGCTTCATTTTTCTTCTTTTGAAAATGATATTTTAGGTAAAGTATTATAGAAGCTGTGGATTCTGATTTATTTTTCTGAGGCTTTTAAAAAAGTATCATTCCTGGACTTACAGTGCAGAATCCGTCTTCCTTACAGTATGCGGCCATGAATGTCTCTGCTCATTTTTAAAATTCTTATTTTTAGTTTTTATCCTCACCTCCTAGAGTTTGTCCCTGTATCTGCATAGTTTAGTGCTCAGGGAATCAGGACAGCGCTTGTGCTCAAACGCTTCTTGCCTGTAGGGCTTTTTTTACCCTCTGCCAGTTGCTCTGTGAGGGGGTTGGGAGGGCATTCAAAGTCACAACCAGTTCTCAGCCAGCCTTGGATTTTGCTTCTCAGTCTGCTCTCTCTGGTGTCCCCCGTACGTGCACCCGGTTTTGCAGCCAGCCAGGGATGTGTGGTGAGCTTATCTCACTCTTCTATGACTCTTTTTGTTCTAGGATCTCCCTTGTAAATTTTCTGGCTGGTCCTTTGCTCTCCCCAATGGGAACTATAATTTCAGGCTAGCAGAGCTGTGGGTTTTCCTCATTTTTTTTTTATAACAAGTTCTCTACTTTTAGCTGACAAAGCTGCAGGTGTTCACTTTTACTCCCAATTGAGCCTAGCTCCTGTGACATCAAAAGCTGCTGATGTTCCAGCCAGCTCTACGTGAATAAAACTAAGTTCTCGCGGAATGACCTGGGAGGGATGGGAGCAGTCCGAGCTAAAAGGCTATAGACTCCTATTCTGCTTTCTTCTAGCTCTAGCAGTTTTTCAGAATTAAACCTTTTTGTGTTTATTTGTTGTTTGCCTTAGATTGATTCCCAGAGCCCTAAAATAGTTGTTTGTTAATAACTTCATCGAGTTTTATACTTGATTTTTGTGGAAAGGATTTATTGACCTTTTCATCCCATCATAGCTGGAAGCCTGGCTTCCATGCCCACATTTTTTTTTTCATGGCCCACTTTTACTAAACTTGGCTGATATTCTGGCCTCTATATCTTTGGCTGGCTCTTTTTATGCTCTCTGGGTCTCTTGTTACTCTTCTTTCCAACTCGCTGCTCTATCCTGGCCTCTGGACACTCTAGCCCCCACACCCTCCCTTGGCTTAAACTGTGATTACCACCTCTCTCTCTTAGGCACCATTCCCATCTAGCCCTTCCTGCCTTCTGCCCTTCAAACCTTTCCACAACACACATCCACACAGTTAGTTAAAAGTGTTTGACTTAAGGAGGAGGCCTAAGCTGAATCCCTCCCTTACCCATCCCTGACTCCAGTCAAAAGCACAAAGGGAGAAAGCAGAAGGCTTTAGAGCTTCTTTGGAAATGACAGATAACTAGTTTAAAGCCATCTACTCCACTGTCCTTGGTTCTGTCTTCTCATCACAGCATTTCTTAGTCCATCTCTCCTACTTCATCCCCAACCTAAATTATTCAATAACAATTTTACATTCAGGGTTCTAAACCTAGCTTCTCACATCCAATGACTTCAGCAAATGCTTTCTAATATCCCAGTGAGCATCTACATGTAGCATGATAGTCACAGATCTATGGAGATCATCCTGCCCTTTCACATCTACGATACTTCAGTTGAAACTCTTTTCTTTTCTTTTTTCTTTTTTGCAACTTATGGAAAATTCAGAGCTCTTACCAGTATTTCTGTGAATTTTTCTCAGGGATTCCTCCATATTGGAGATGCTGCCAAGTTAATTCTTCAGTTTCAAAATGACATTATTTATTTGGGTGTGTTGCAAAGCCGCGGTTGCTAATTGAAAAACTCCTAAATGTGTCATCTTTAACATCATCCTAAAATATGGATGGGCTGTTAGATTCTAACAGCCTTGGCTAGTTCTAATTTTTTTTTTATTCTTCCCTTGGAAAAATGCTGGCTGACTTTGTGGGCTTAGGAAAACTGATTTGCATAGTTTTATTCTCTGTCATTGAAAACAAATACCTCTTTCAGAAGGACATTAAATTGGTTGTTTCTGGAAATTTCCAGGAATGAAAACAATGCTAGTAATTCTTGTTTTTTTCTTTCTGACTATATATCTATTTCAGGGAAAGCAACATTAAGAAAGTTAAGGTCCTTTTTACATGGTAAAGTGGTATGACAGCTAATTTTCTTTTTTTTTAAAGATTTTATTTATTTATTTTTAGAGAGGGAAGGGAGGGGCAGAGAGAGAGAGAGAGAGAGAAACATCAGTGTGTGGTTGCTTGGGGTTATGGCCTGCAACCCAGGCATCTACCCTGGCTGGGAATCGAACCTGCGACACTTTGGTTCGCAGCCCGCGCTCAATCCACTGCGCTATGCCAGCCAGGGCTTAATTTTCTAAAAAAAAATTTGGGGCTGGTTCTTTTCAGGCATGGTAGGTAATTTTAACTTCATGATACCCACTCTCTTCAATCGACATCTTTCAGGGTCTGAAAATTCAGGAGTTAATCGAGTGGGACTGGTTCTGGAGTATCTCCTCTACACTAGTGCACTTGGTATAGCACATCGTGATTATCTTTCTACAAAGCCCTGAAATAACAGTTTGCTTCTTTGTGAATGTAGGAGATAAATACCCTTTATTTTTCATTCTCGTGGAATTCATTTTTTTGCTGCATTAATGTGCACTAAGAAGTTTCTAATGTGGTGATAAATGTCAGCAAGAATGAAATTAATTGGATGGTCATCCCTGAAGGTACACATTTAGGGTTGGTTCTCAGAATTGTCATTTCATCAGCTTGCTTAAAAGTGGAGGATTTACTTCATTTCTCAGCTTGAGTCAAAAGTAATTTCTTTCCTTCAGAATACCCTTTCTTTGACAGAAACGATTTTAACCTAGCTTCCCCATTAACTCGCTGTAACTCCACTGTGACCAAACATGACTGGATTTTCTTTCTCCCTCTTCTGAAAAAATATGTAAAAATACATCAAATGTCTATACAAATTATGGTCCTGCCCAGAATTTTTATTTGTAAAAGCATTATCTATTATATGGAATGGAAAGGATATAATCTACAGCAGGGGTGTCAAACTCATTTTTGCTGGGGGCCACATCAGCCTTGCAGTTGCCTTGAAAGGGCCGAATGTAACTTTAGGACTGTATACATGTAACTGCTCCTTAACAGTTAAGCGAGAGCTCAGGTGTTGCTTCCAGGTAGAAACAAGGTGCTGGGCCGGATAAACCAAGGTGGAGGGCTGGATTCAGCCTGCGGGCCTTGTGTTTGCCACCTGTGATCTGCAGGATATTAGAAATAAAGCAATAAATACTCTATGGTTTTCCTATTCCATATGCCTTAGATTATCTTTAAGGGTTGATAGGCACAATGTAAAACTTGATGTATGTTTATTTTATAGGGCCCAAAGAAATCAGGGTGGCAATGTGTTTTTCTTTAGATTATTGTATTTTAGTATTATAGTCCTTTTATGTACCTCATTATGCAGTATAATTTCATTTCTATGTGTTTTTGGATTTGAAATTAAATAAGACCTCTTTCCCCCTTATCCTTCCCCAAACATAAACTGCAGGAACATCCTAAGGTCATAGTAAGAGTTTAGAGCACATTCGTGACACTGTTTGTGCATTCAGACAGATGTATACCTAGTGATACATTCATTTAAATAGATTGAGTGATCCTCTGCTCAGCGCGTACCACCTAGGCGGGGGTAAATGATAGGGGGTGGAGAGGACTGTGGAGCACTAGTGATTGCACACCTCATTTAAACACATTCCAGGTCAGTACCTTTTAAAACCATTGTCTTGGGCAAATGAAACATTTTTATGGGGAAATTCAACCTACTGGGTAGCTCTGAGTCTGTGGACAGGCAAGTTTTCAGTGTTTCAGTTCTCTGCTGCTGTACAACAAGCCACCCTAAAATGTCCAGGGCTTAAACCACAGTTACCGTTTGTTCTCTCTCGTGGCCCTGCAGGTCACTAGGCTCAGCCGGGTGGTTCTTGCTCATGGCCTTTCATGCAGTCTCAGTCAGGTAGTGACTGAGACTGGAGTCATGTGGGAGGCTTCCTCTCTCGAGTCTAGTGGTTAATGCTAACTGTTGGCTGCAAGGCCTTCTATAGCTCTCTGTGGGCACTGGGCTTCTTTATAGCATGCTGATTGAGCAAGAAACTTCAAAGAGTGAGTTTTCTAAGAAAGAGAGAGGGAGAACGGGCACACGGGGTAGAGGGAATTGAATTGCCTTTAACTACCTTTCATTGGAGGTCATGTGGTGTCATTTTCACTGCATTGGATGTCTTGGTAGTGAGTCCCTGAGGCTAGCCCATAATGGAGAGGAGAGGAATTTAGATCCCAACTCTTAATGGAAGGAGTATACAAAAAATTGCAAACAGGTTAGAACAAGCACAGGTATTCCTGCATTAGAGAATAATACATATAAATATAAAATAAACGGGTATAATCAGGGTGATGATAGAAAATATTTAATGGCTGCTTTGGCATGGGCACTGACCAATAAGAAGACATAATAGCATCCATAACTGGTAGGATCTACTGCTGCAGCCACTTAATATGAGCTCTGGGTATAATGAAGACTCCAAACATGCCCTAGAATCAACAAGAGCTCTGGGAGGTCAGGAAAGGTGTGGCCATGTGTCTGAAATAAGATGTTTTAGGTATTCACGCTGAAGCTTCAGAGGCCCCATGTGGTTGGTTGATTTCTTTGTTTTGTCCACCTTTGTCCATCAGCAATTAGAAATATTTTCCTTGCACCCTGGCTGGTGTGGCTCAGTGGATTGAGTGCCGGCCTGTGAACCAAAGGGTTGCCACTTCGATTCCCAGTCTAGGGCACATGCCTGGGTTGTGGGCCAGGTCCCCAGTTGGGGGAGCATGGGAGGCAGCCACACAGTGATGTTTCTCTCCTTCTCTTCTCCCTCCTTTCCCTTCTATTTAACAATAAATAAAAGTAATATAAAAAATATTTTTCTTGCATGACTCTTACCCTAATGTTCTAAAAGTTTATTCTTTGCAAAAGGGAGTGGAGTTGGGAGGAATGGGAAGAGAAGGGATGAGCTCTAGCAATACACATAATCTTTTGTACATATTATGTTGAGTCCAATGTCATTGAAAGGCAAGTTGAGAGATACCTGGATTCTTCCTCCCTTGACCCAAAGAGCAGACATACAAATGCTTGATTCTTTGGGGGGTGTATTAGTTTTCTGTTACTGCTATAATAAATCGCCACAACTTTAGCAACTCAAAATGACAAATGGATTATTTCACAGTTCTGTACGTGAGAAGTGTGGGTTGGCTTGGCTCATTTCTTGGGTCCAGGTTTTGCAAGGCTGAAATCAAAGTGTCAGCTGGCTGGATTCTTAGCAGGAGGCTCTGGGAAGAATCCTCTTCCAGGCTCAAGTTTCTTGTGGTTGCAGAACTGAGGTCCGTCCTTCCTTGTGGGCTGTTAGCTGGGAGCCACTCTTCCCTCAAGAAGTTTCTCTCTGGCCCTTGCATATGACCCTGCATCTCAGAGCCAGAAACAGTGTGGGGAATCCTTCTCACTCTTGGAATCTCTCTGACTTCCTCCTCCTCCTGTGTTGCATCTCTCAGGTTTTCTCCTCATAAGAGCTCATGTGATTTGAATGGGCCCACTTGGGTATTCCAGGATAACCTCCCTATTTTCAGGTTCTTCAAATTAATTATACCTGCAGTCACAGGATCCAGGGATTAGTATGTGCATGTCCTTTTGGGAGCCATGATTCTACCTACTATAGGAAGCAATATTAGGTCCATAAAGGCAGTTTCCCATCCACTTATTTCCTCAGGAAAAAAGTCCAGTCAGTAAGTTTGTGTTAAACATTAAGATGTATTGAAATATTAATCCTAAAGTTGAAGGAGAAAAATACACGTATGGAAATGAGTATAGGTTTCAATTTTAACAAGAGAAGAGATACTGTCTTTCTTGATGTCCAGTAATGTCTCCAGTGTAATATAATACTTAAGAGAACTGCTCTGAAGTCAGACCAGACTTTGTGCAAGTATATAATACTTTTAAATCTCATTGTCCTCATCTATGAACTGGTCTAATAATTGTTATAGTTGCTATGGGGAAAAGCCTATAAATAGAAAGTGCATAGGGCATAGTAAGTGCTCACTGAATGTTAGCTAATAATAATAATAAAAATAATAGTAGCATGACATATTCATAGACTTCTTTATAGGTGGGGAGAAGGTATGGGTGGACCAGTTAGAATCAACGCTTGGGTTTCTTGCTAGTTTCATATTACTGACAAATTACTAGTATATTAAACATAAAATTAGTAAAGTAATTGTTCTGAAAAGGAATTTATACAAGTTTATTTTAAGCAATTTAGTTTAAAACAAATTGCTTGGTTTTAATCATAGAGGACAATGGCTGAGGCTCACAGCCACCTAAGTCAGGTGTCAGCAAGCTGTGGCTTGTGGGCTAAATCTTGCCTGCTGTCTGTTTTTGTATGGCTCATGAGCCAAGAATGATTTTTACAGATAAATGTTTGCAGTAGATTTGATGACTGGAAGTGCTAACTTTGAACACCAATTATACAAAATGTTATCCTGCCCTCAAAGAATACCATTCTTCTCATTAATAGGCCTGTATTATAATAAATTGTACTCAATTATTATATTTTGAGTTTCATTAAAAATTTATGGAAAAATTTCTCTCACTGTAGAAGTACCTGTGTAACATCCTTGATTTTTGCTTTGTTGCCTGCAAAATACCCAGTGTTTACCATCTGACTCCTCACACAAAAAAATTTGCTGAACCCTGATCTAAGTAACCTACCGTACATTTAAGATGGAGTATAGAATCTTCATAGCTGGAAAGTACTCCCAAGATCTCCTAATGCAATACTTCATTTTCATAGCTAAAGCAAGCCCCAAGAAGGTAGGCAGCTCTTTCGACATAACCCAGGTAGCTGGTGATACAGGCAGGACAAGTCATTAGTTCTTCTGGTGCTTAAACAAGCAAACTTTCTACCAGAGTAAGCAGATCCTCTGAGAAGCATTGTTGTACTTCGTTAATCTCTCTTTACTACATGGACCTCTGTGTTAACACTAGTCCAGAAGCTTTTAATGTGGACAGATCAGAGGCTATGCAGTGTAGTAACTGAGCTGTCCTGTGGACCCATTAAATAGGGCCTGGCAAACATCAGCTGCTTGTTGTGCTTCCATCTGGAGGGAGAGCCCTTTAGAGTCTAGGATTTCTCATTAAAGCTGTTTCAGAAGCGCTGGCACTGACTTTTTCTGTTAAGTTAGTAACAGTGAATAACCAGGCATGTTAATATATTCTCACTGAACCGTGTTCAGTTTAGGATGAGATTGTTTACTGAGCAGAACAATAGCCCTAAATTGAAGCGATAATTTCCTCGTGTGTCCCATATCCCCATTGTTCCCTGGTTATTTGCTAATGAATTCCAACATATTCTGTTTGTTCCTGCTGCCCTCCTGCCTGGATAATGATGATCGCTTGGTGATGCTTGTTTCTTTTGCTACAGGTGGTTTACAAATCCAACGACTGTCAATGCTTTCTATAGTGCATCCACCAACCAGATCCGTGAGTACTTGGCTTCTTGTCTCCTTGTTAATCTGGTACAAACTGGAAGGAACTTTTCCAACACTGTGAGTGAGGGTAGAGCATTCTTTATTTCACCCCCCAAAATGACCAGGTATGTTGTTGAAGGCAGTTTGACCCCTCATATACCCATATGCCCAGTTTTCCTCACTCTGTTCACCTTATAAGTTTCTTAAAGCTTTGTATCACCATTGAGTAAAAAGAAAATGACAATAAATAAAATTAAAATGAAGTTGGCCATGAAGAGAAGCAAGCTTCCACTTTTCCTCCCATAATGGCCTTGCAGATTTTGTCCATACCATTTTGTTTATTCTTTAGGATCAATGGGAAAAACAAGTAGGTAACTGGGCAGACTGTAGAGCCTGAGGGGACTATCAGTACATAAGAAAAGTTTGGAAATATTCTGATTAATCCCAGGATGTTGTCTTGAGTGTCTTCTATTTATATGTTTTGGGCACATGTAATTATAAATGCCATGATAAGTTTAAAAATTATTGAAGATCAGATTGACACAAAGTAAAAATCTGATAGCACCAAGTGTTGGCACCAGAGACAGGCACTCACTGATGGTGAAATTGTAAATTTTCCCACTCACTTTGCAGAGAAATCGCAACACCTGGAGAAGCCGAAGATGTGCATGCATATCTCTGACCATCACTTGCATTCTTGGCATCTCTCCTAGTGCTCTGATTCTCAAAGTATGGTCCTGGGACTGACAGCAACAGCCTTACAGGGGAACTTGTCAGAAATGCACCCCAGATGTGTTTTTCACAGGGGGCTCAGAAATCTGTTTTATTAAGCCCTCCAGGCAACTCTAACATAGTTTGAGAACCAGCACCCTAGAGAAGTCTTATACAGTGAGGCCCATGGGAGAATGCTCATAACAATACTGTTTACAATAAGGGGGAAAGGGCAATAAGCTGTGTGTCCCTCCACAGGAAAATGAGTCTGATGTGGCATGTTCACAGAAAGGAATGCCACATAGCAGTGAACAGTGAGTGACCTGGAGTGACACACATTAGCATGGATGAGCCTCATAAATATTAGATTGTGTGGCAAAAAAGCAACTTGGGAAAATAAATATCAAGTGTGATACTCTATAAATAAGGCTGAAAAGCATGCAGGACAATTCTATATATGTAGTGAAAACTATGAGGACACGAGAATGAGAAACAGTGAGTTCGGGTTGGCAGTGGCCTGTTGGGAGAGGGTCGGCCGCTCCTGCTTGAGCTCCTGCTAGTTTCTCTTTCCCCCCAACCCTCTCACCCTTCCCGGTCTCCATCTTCACTCCCTTACGTGGTAATAATATCTAACCTCATGGCTTTAAGCACATCTCTATGTTGCTGAGTGTGGGGATGCAATTTATGAAGACTTGCCACGCTTGACCACACCCCCATACCTGTATGGAATAGCCTCCTCACTTGCCTCCCTGCTTCGGTCCTTATGCCCCTTCAGTCTATTCTAAATGTTATATTGTGGCCATTTTAAGATGTTTTACAACCATATTTCCCTCCTTTGCTCAGAACCTGTTATCAGCTTCCTATTGCATTCAGAATAAGAGCCAAGTGACTTTCAATGGCCGGGGGGTTCTTACCAGGCTGCCTTTATCTCCCCTCTGTTCAGCCACAGTGGCCTCCTTCGTGTTCCTAGAGCATGAGACAATGTTCCTGCCTGGCATTGATACTCTGGGCTCCCTTGGCATGGGAGAGCTTCCCCAAGTGGTCTGCAAGGTTCACACTCCCACTTTCTTCAAATACTTGCTCGAATGCCACCTTCTCAGTGAGGCGACCTGCCTACTCACACTAGTTCCTCCTTGCTAGCTAGCCCTCATCCCGACAGAACAGCCCTGTGTCCGGCAGGCACATCTCCTTAGAGTTGCCCTCATGTGGCCAAATGTGGGAATGGCAGCCTCTGCAGGACTGGCCCGAGAAGCTAATAAACAGAAGGAAAATAAGCAGATGGTGGTAATTTCGGAGTTTTACATTAATTTATGTAAGGAAATCAGTTGTTAAATATTTCAAATATTTCAAATGTCTCTCTTTACTATAAAAATATTCATTATTATCATGAAAATACCATTGCTTTCTCCTCACAGCTTTATTGATACATAATTGACAAATAAAAATTGTCTGTACTTAAAACATACAACATGATGTTTTGATCTAACTCCAAGTTGAGAACTTTGCTGCATATGGAAACTGATGGTATTAGGAATATCAGTTATAAACACTATAATAATATGAATTATGTTTATATAATATGAATTATATTACTTGGAATAACCTATTGAGCAATAGAAAATTCTTATAGTATCTATTGTAAAAGAAAATGCTTTATATAATATTTGGTACATCAAAACAATATATGTAACAGTTTAGAACATATAAAATTATAAAGTATAAGAATACATGATAAATATACATGTATAAATCTACCACCTAACCATGAACTGGAACATTCGTGATATCATTGGTTTTTAAAATAAATTTTAAATCATTTAAGTATCTCTAAACAATATATGGTTTATTTTTTGTTTATGTTTTAGCATAAAAAGAATGCTATGCACATTGTATGCAATCTTAAGCAACTGTTTTTTCAATCAACATGTTATTAGACTCATTCATGTAGCATGTGGCAGTAGTTTTTCATTTTTCACTGCCATGTAATGTTCCATTGTGTGACTGTATCCCAGATTCCTTACTTGTTCTACAAACCTTTTCTGTTGATAGACCTACATTCCTCCCCTCTCCCCACTAGATTTTTGCTGTTATGAACAGCACTGCTATATTTTTACTAGCTTGTAGGGTATGCAAATACTCAGCTTTACCAGATATCACTAAATGTTTTCCAAAGTTAGTATTCCAAAGTACAGAAGTGTTTGCATCAACTCTCATTGTCATCGCCTTGGCATCGGTAGACTTCATTTTTACTAATCTAGTGAATCAGCTCTTATGCAAGAAAAGGCATTGAGATAGACTCTTCACCAATGTTTCCACACTCACTTTCCAGTGTCAGTGAATGCCTACTGCTCCTTTGGGGATTTAAGTCTAATAATATTTATGTCTCCAGGATTAACCCCTGTCCAACCTTCTTGTCTGGGAAGAGCTGATCCTATGAGTGGTTTACTGAAGAAGCCGCCATTGCAGGGTAGCCCAGTGGTTCCTCAAAGGCTCATGAGCAGAGGGGGTTTGTGATGAACAATTTGAAGCAATATTTTAATTAAGAGATTCAAGCTGTTTCTATTTTCCTAATGACCAGTGCTTGCTCTCATTGTAAATTACATTCCCAGGCAAGATGACAAGGAATCCTTTGGGTGATTTTTTTTCTCTCTCCTTTCTGATTTTTCTGGACTACAAATTGAGACAGGTGGAGTTCCTTCTTATACATTCCCCCACTGGGTTTCCTGGGACTTCCCCCAGCCCCCAACTGCCTTCTATTTGCTTCACTGAAGAAATGAAAAATTGAGGTGATTTTGTAAAATGAACATCTTTATTGATTAGGGGCTGATTCTGACAGCATGTGGCCATCTGTTTAATTGGGTTTCACATCTAAGATGTAACTATACTTAGTAACGTGATTTATGAGAATTTCATTCAGTTCCCATTATCATTTTCTGATTTATGCCACTTAAGCCTGCTTCTGCATGCAGTAGAGACTTGAGTAGAAAATAGAAGTTTTTTTTTTTTTTTTTTGCAAATCCATGGCTTTGTGCGAAACTCTATGATTTGTGACCATCTTTCAATGTTAGATTTTTTGCAGGGTGGATAGACTTCCCTACTTTTCTACCCTTGTCAGGCTGGATACCAATGTCCTCAGATACAAAGTGCAGTGAAATAATAATGGTTTAAGTCTGCTGTACATGGACTTATACTCAGAAACTCTTGCAGAATTGAATTATATTTGAACTGATAAGGTGCTTAAAGAAGAACACAACGAACTGAGGGTGTCGGTGCCCAAGCTTGTGCTTCTCTGCCTTGGTGACAACTGCAAAACGGGTCTACCTACAAAACCCGTTTTTGGTAGAGAAATCTCGAGAGCCTCGATGGCAGACCTTGAGTGCCACTGATTTAGTTGTATGTCCTTGGTCAAGGTGTTTCTGCTTCCCGACCCCTGTTTTCCTCATCTGCTACATGTTGAGGTTACCTAGCCCACAGTGTTTTGAGTGAAGATTTAATAAGAGGAATGTAAAAAGTGCCAAAACATCGCCAAGGTTAGGGTTTGTGTGTCTAAAACTGGACACCCCAGTTTAATGTCAGTACTCCCCGGGATAGCCAGTCTGTCACAGAACAGCAACATATAGAGAATTTGGAAAGAAGTAGTTTGGACTTTTGATCTCAAAATATTTTTATCAATCAAAACACTATTTTTTGTGTATTGGAGAAGCACAACCAATTTGGAAAAGTGTCTGACGGTTTGTTGATACCTCCTATAGCCCAGAAATTCCATTTTTTGATGATGGATCCTTATGCTCACCAAGAGACATGGGCACAAATGTTCATAGCAGCTTTATTCATAATGGCAGAAACCTGGAAAGAACCTGATATCCATGAACACAAGAATAGGTAGATAAATAGGTATAGTCATACAGTTGAATATTATATAGCCATGAAAAACAGCCAGTGGCTCCATGCTACAGTATGTAAGAATGGTGCTGACTTAATGCTCAGTGAAGCATTGCACGGTTCCATTCATTAAGTTCAGGAACAAGCCAATCTGTGCTTTAAGTGGTAGAAGATAAAATAATGGCTATTTTTGTTGCAGTATTGACTGGGAAGGGGCACAGGAAACATCATCTTGATCTGGGAGGTGGTTGCACAGGTGATACACATGTAAAGCCACAGTGTGTTCTACCATTTAAATTGGTATGTATGTAATGCCTCAACATGTACAGTGACACCCTCATTCCCCCCATAAAATTATTTGGAACAGTGTATAGCATGCATAGACATTTGGCATTAATAATAGATTACCTAGGCCAAGCC